CTCTTGGAATCCATTAAGTAGGAAACCTTGAATAGCTTTCTACAACACGTATAATGGAGATAAGTACTTTCGTTGAGGGCACCAAATGGTTTGAACGCAGCGCTGAAACGAAATAGCAAGCATTACACTTCGAATGTCTTAATATAATATATGGAGGCTAAGGGCTGCAGCTTTTACCCATTTTTTACACAAATATATATATATTAAAGAATGATTTTCTCTGCACTTCAGTAATATACCTCGCCGACTGAGCGATATTTTCGTAGGAAGTCCGCAGAGGCATTGCGGTGCACATATTCGGTATATGAGGGTTTGAAAAATTATTCTCCGATTTTGACAATTTTTAGACATGTATAGTATAACTTAAAGGCAGTATTTGTGCGAAGTTTAATTTCGATACCTTAAATTGTTCTTGATCTAAATATATATGTATGTACTTTAAAGTGAAATAAATATATGGAATTTAACATTGCGATACATGGTAAGTAAACGTGGTTGTAGTCTGATTTAGCAAATTTTCATTGCGGAATATACGGATATCAAAATATGATGTTATGAAACGAATTTTGTTGAAATTGGTTAAGTAGTTCCTGAGAAATGGGATTTTACCTAAAAGTGGGCGGTGCCACACCCATCATCCAATTCTTCCTGGCCAATTCTTCGGTCTATGGACGGGGCTACGCTAACCCCTCTACGGGCCATTGAACACGGCTACCAAGTTTCATTAAGATATTTCGGTTTTTGCTTAAGTTATCGCTTGCACGGTTGACGGACAAACCGTCAATTGGAATTCATTCATTGGATCATTTATATATAGATTACTCTGTAGGTATCTACTTCGATTAGTTTTAGGTGTTACAAACAAACGTCAAGTGAATAAAACTATTACACTATGTGCAACAATTTGCGAGAGTACAAACAACTACTAAAGTGCGATCATTTACTACAGAATGGCGTCAGATCATAATAAGCCGCATGTTAATCAGTGTAAAAATTGGGAAATGGGCATGGCATCACCCATTTTTATGTGGAATATTATTATCTCAGAAATGACTCAACCAATTATATTTAATTTTCAATGTCAATTTTTTTTGGGGTCATTTTAATATCCTGACTCAATATTACAGTTTGAAAGGGGGCAAAATCTGATGCCTACTTTCCATCCTTACTGTATATAAATAAATCAGGCACCAATCAGGATATCGGAATAAAACTTTAAGCACAATTTTCAAATTTCGGTTGGCTTTAGAATGTGTATATCTACTTACAATCTATTTACGATCTCTATACGTTTTATTTAGTAATATAGGAATGAAGGTTAGACACAATGCTACTAGAAGTTGTTTATTATGAATAGAGCAATAACCTTTTTAGTTTTCATGCTTCCGACAAACGACTAATAATTACTAAATATGTATAACTTTTAATAGCAACAGATGGTTGAGGGAGAAATTACATATCAAAGTACATACACATCAGTATATAACAATTTATGTATCAACATATATCCTATGAATTCGTCGAGCACACTTGTTTTTTTACTTAACAGCCAATAACGTAGTACACGAAGTGTGAAGATAACAAAAATCTACAGGTGGCGATGCACATTTTGTTGCATTTTATTTCCCCTTCGTAATTTAAGCAAAATATGTTTGGTGTCCTGCACATTTTAAAAGTATATGCCGCGCACATGCTAATACACCAAGAATTAGCGTCATATAACAAGTGGTTACTGGAACTATGGTAGTGGAAAAACTAGTGGTACATTCAAGTCTTGTAACAATGCTTCAGATAGTGGAGGGATGGTGCCCTTAAATTGCTACCTTTTCGATAAGAATTTGAGCAAGTGAACAATAGTTAACATTAGGGAGAAATAACGTATAAAAGCAAACGACAATTATAAACAGGTGGGTCTCTTAAATGACCGTCCGTATAAAAATACAACAACCACCTATATTTTCCTAGTACATTTTCCAAGGCACATGTTCCATGCATGTAATACTTGTGAAAGAGGGTTGAAATAATTAAAACAGTTTGAAATAACGACACATGAGGTAATTTTGTGAAGATCAAAAAGAAGAATTGATAATACAGTTGGGAAAATAAAAATTTTAATTATTAAAAAAAAATTATCATACCTACATTCAATAAAGCGACTGTCGATCCAAGTGTGTAGATAGTGTGAAATTTCGAACATAACCTAATCGAGCGACTTATTTGCAAAAATTTGATTATACCGTTTTATGATCTTAACAAAATTCAAACTCTGTCCATTTATGAAGAGACTCTGACTGA